TTGTATTGACACAAACAGAAGCAGCATCATTGCCTTTGTATAAATATTTGTATATATATTTGACACCCTTAACACTTCCACAATATTCCAAGTTGATATGACAATGGTACTTTGTTAATAAATAAGAATTATTTGTTCCCAAAAGGAAAAAGAAGTGTGTAGCACATAGGATCGATATATGGACTCAGAGTTGTTATTCTTGTGTATTTATTAGGTTGTGATGTTGTCTGCCGACTTCTTACAACAATATCTCTGTTAAATGGAGATTTTCCTTCATGTTCATGATTGATAAAAACTATGGCGATTTCATTTGAAGTTGGAGTGTTAAATCTTCTTTCATCTTTACTTTTATCACGAACAAATTCAAGAGTAACCTTTGTATCTTTAGGCTGTGTTTTAATGATATCTCCCATCACAATAAACGACTTTGCGATTGGATTTACTTTTCTTATTTCTCTGTCAAGACTTTCGATAACAAAAGGATCAATAGTTTTATTGTGTTTGTCTTCAAGTCTTTCAGTATTTGCCAACTCAGAATCGATAATGTAATATTGCACAAAAGCTCTTTTATCATCTTCCGTGTTTATGACGGATATTGAGTGATAGACTTGTCCTTCAACTGTGAAATTTGCAACTCCGGTAAACCTTTTGATATTTGCGCCGAATGATACAAAAGATAAAGAACTATTGATAGCTCTGATATTAGTTTTAAAGCTTTTGTAATGAACATTATTGACGTTGTATAGTTCATTTAAAAGTGATTCCATTTCATATTGTTTTTCTTTTGGAATGTCAAGTAATTTGGGAAGTAATACTTTTCCATAATGACAACATTGTCTAAAAGAACCATTCTTTGATTTTTCAGCTTTAAAATGAAATGCACCACAAAAACTACACTTTATATTCATAACACCACAGTCGTGAATAATGATTTGTTGTTGTGTTTCCTTTGCTTTATAATTGGGTTGTTTTGTTTGTTGTTTCTTAAAATAGATTTCTCGTTTTTTTCTTTTTCTTTGTTCTTGTTTAGCTTCATATTTTTCGTCATCTTTCTGTTGTGTTTCCACTAAAACACTTGTTAATGATGACTCATTGATACGCATAACTTCTTTTGATAAATTATAACAGTCAACATTATCAACATTATCAACATTATCAACACAATCTTCCAAATCTGATAATTCTATTGTCTTCTTTACTTTCTCGTGTTTGTATGGATCGGTAATTTTTATTGGTTGTTTAATTGTGTTATAATTTTTACCTTTTAATTGTACTTCATTTCTTTTATCATTTTCACGTCTTAAACACAGTTGACCAAATTGATAGTTTGGGGTTGTGTTGCTTTGTATTATTTTATCATCTTTGTGATTAATTTTTCGATACTGATACTGTGTTTGAATTCGTTTCTCATATTGTTCTAACATAAAAGTGTGAGATTGTAATGATATTAAAGAACGACGCAATTCTCTTTTGGTTTCAAGTTCTTTATCAGTTGCCTTATCCATTTCAAAAATGGTTTGTTCTCTTAAAAGTGGCTGCTTTGGTATTTCCAACTTCATCAATTGTTCATATCGTTCAAGTGTTTTTACTGTTGGTAAAGTAACATTTCTTATAACATCAACAATTTCTCTGATATTGTGGACACTGTCATGGTGTTTTTTGATGAGGTTCTCCAACCTACTTACATGAATAATTGAATCGTACTTCCTTATAAAATAGATACAAAGAGATTTGTTCAGTGACGTAAAGTATTTTTCTGAATTACTCATATATAAACGTTTTAAAAGTTTTTTATTGATATGGGTGCAAAGAGACTTATCTAAAAATTTAAATTAGATGTTCATTTTAATCATTTGTAAACCATTAAATATTTTTTTTGTTAATTTTACAAAAATTTATACAAACATCATAAATATGATGTTTGTATTTCCTTTTGATTACAACGTTATTGTACTGAAAAAAACACTTTTTTGATGATATCTTTATTAATTAAACCCAATCTGTTAAGAAAACGACAACACCTTCGTATGTGCTTAGAAACTGGGGGAGGTTGACTATGAGACAAGTTTTGCACTCGAATCAATACAAAAGATCGTCGAAGCGAATGAAGGAAATAAGTTCGTTGAGAAACTGAACTAGATGGGTATTGCAAAGTCGATAGTCATCAGCTACGACTCCGATATCAAAAATCCATACTTTGTGATATTTCGAAGAACGCCAATGGAAACAAATTTGATGAATTCCAAAAGGTTCTCCTCGAGGAGTTTGAAGAGTTTGGAAGAAACGGATTTGGGAGAGAAAAGGAGATATCTGCGATAAACACGTTTGAGTTTGAGGAGAAGGAGTGTGAGTACGGCAGTTTCCCCAAAGGGGTGTTACTCGCGATGAAAACGACCGTTGGATTTGCTCTTGAGAAAAGTGACATGTTTTGGAAGTTTAAAATTAACGCCGCCGTCGAACATATTAAAAAAGAGGTGGTCGAGAAGAACGAGAATTACTTTGGGAAGATCATCACAAAGTATTTTTTGGAGAACACTAATCGCGTTTTTGCGAAGTGCGCGCCAAGTAAAACGTTTATGACAAAATTGAATGAAGAGGAAAAGAAAAGACATTTGGAAGCGGCAAAGAAATTGACTCAAGAAGAGATCAATACCGTCGTGAAAGACTCAGAAGAATTAAAGAAACAGCAAACAAAAGAAGACTCAGAGGAGCAGAAGAAAACGATTCCAACACTGCAACTTAAAGATTTATCAAAAAGAGGAACGGACTATTCTTTGGAGCAAATGAACAGCGAAAACATCGAGAAGATCTTTTATAAAGAAAACTCGACGAATGGCATTTTCTATTTCAGTTTATGTTTCGATTTGAAAGAATGCACGTTGGACGAACTCTGCACGGCAAATTTACTTGGGAAGTTACTCAAAAGTTTCGACACGGAGAAACACAATTTCATCGACTTAAACACATTGATTGAAAGGTACTTTGGAAGACTTGTTTGCACCATTCAATCGACGTCTAATAAGCGATTTGGAACTGAAAGTGCTGAAATGAAGAAAGTGGTTCCTTATTTAGAAATTACTGGGAAGCTCCTCTACTCAAACATGAAAGAGGCGATTGAGGTTTTGGGAGAGATGATGAGCCAAATCAAATTTGATAAAAAAACACTTGAAAAGAAGTTAAAGACAGTCGTGTCTGATGCGGAAAATAGAATGAAAAATCAACCAGCAAGTCTTCTTGTTATGAGAAGTTCGTCGTATATGACTGGGTCTGGATATGTACAAGATTACACCAATGGTTTAGCGAGTTATCGAAAGTTCAAGTACTACTCAGACAACTTTGAAACGATTGGAGACACTTTACTGGCTAAACTTCAATCAATCTATTCATCTGTTTTTAACAAAGAAAAGTGCACGGTGTACTTTTCATGTGAGAAACAGAACAAAGAAGATACCATTAAGACATTCATGAACATCGCAAACGTTATGAAAACACCAGAAACTATTGAGAAAATGAGTATTCCAAATTATGAACAAAGTTGCGAGGGTTTTGAAAGACAAAAGATCAGCGAAATTGATTTTACAACACTTTTGAAAGCAAAGAACGAGGCTCTTGTCTTCCCAGTGAAGAACAATTACGTCGCTTTAAGTTTCAATTTTGCAGACTTGAAGTTTAAGTTGGATTCTTCATTTAAAGCGCTCTGTGAAATCACTGAGAAACTCTTCTTGTGGGACAAAGTGAGAGTCGAAGGCGGTACTTATGGTGTTTACGCGTTGTATCAAGCAGACGGAGTGTTTGTGTTCTACTCATACCGAGACCCTCACATTTTCGAGACACTTGACATCTACAAACAAATTCCCGAACTCATTGAACACTTCAGTTTGGATGAGAAGATCCTCGAGAACTATTTGATTGGTATTTTTGCTGATATTGACAAGCCACGAAATGCAGAGACGTTGCTCCAATTCAGTAAGACCTTCCACCAAGAAAACACAATTGAAAATTATAAGGAAATCAGAGAAAACATGTTTAATGCCACTCCAGAGACTGTGAAGAACACCGTTCAAATTATTAAAGAAGGATTGAAACATGCTAATATCTGTGTTATCGGAAACGAAGAAATGATCCAAAAGAAGGCGGAGATATTTGGGGAAGTCGTCCAGGTCTTCAAAAAATAATTCACAGTGAATTATTGAGAGTTTGATATAACAGTTTTTATTTAAAAATGAATTTGATATATAAATTTTATAATACTTTATAACACAGGACTATTATGTTTCTATTTATTTTAAGATGAGAGTAATTAACAATCCAAGTTTTTACTTTTAAACAGAGTAAAAGCATTATCACGTGAATAATGAATAATATTAACATGTTGATTATTACTTTAAAAAAACTTTGAAAATAATAATAACACAGTGTTTTACAATCATAATTTTTAATAAAAATAATAAAGATAATAAAAGTCAGTCAAAATAAATTTGTTGTAATGTAGACTATTTGTATTCACTTGGTTTGTGTTACTAATATTAAATAATATTTGTGGAATGACTTGTTAGTGTTTAAGTTGGTTGTTAATTTGATTGACAAAATAAGTGACAATCAACTATTATAGATCACAAAAAATGGATATGGATATAAACAGACTATAAACAATTAATAATGATATGCCTCCTGTAATTAACAACAAAAAGTGCACTGGATGCTGTTCATGTATTTCAGTATGTCCACAAAATGTGTTGGAACTTATTAAGGCACATTCTGTTGTTGTTCGCCCGGATGATTGTATCGAGTGTGAAGCCTGCAAAGAGTCGTGTAATTATGCATCAATTACTTTCTAATTGTTATTTTTCATTTTTATCATTTATTAATAACAACCATTATAACATAATTACACGACCTTGTTGTTGATTTTAAACTTCAAATAATATAATTCAATCAAAAGTTGAATTAAAAGTATTTGGTAAATGTTCGGTTTGAACTGAAATCTGGATTTGCTGTTTTTTAAATAAGTTTTGAACTTTTTTTGGTCTGGTCTTGTGATTCACAATTAATGAAACAAATCAAAAGGTAAAAATTCAATAAAACAAATCTTTTAATTTAAAACAAGAAATACAGGTGAGGTACTAACCTGTCAACCAGAACTAACCTGTCAGCCATTTTCCTTTAGGAAGCCTAAAACCCGGATTAGTACGTTTTTTATGGCATTTGTTTTTTGAGATTTCATCTCAAAAATGAAACCTGTCAGCTTTTTTGGTATTTTTGGGTTTTGTAAAAAAGTAAAACTAAAAAAGAAAAACGATGAGAGTAAAAGACACCTTAATTGTGATGTTCTTCATCAACGCCTTGGTCATCGAGGACCAGCCTCAGCTGAAGCTGATGGGTGGGATGCTGGGACAACATTCCGCCACGCTGTTGCAATTCACTATGTGGGAAGAATCGAGGAGAAAAAAAGGTTTGTCTTCTTTGAGAATACCCCAGTGTTTCGAATGGGGTTCCGAGTGTCACATAATTAACAGCGAAGGTGGGTTGGAAACTGGGGGTTCCAGAACCGTCAGGTTGAAAAGAATCCAACCGGGGCGGTCGCAATTCTACTTGTTGAGTATTATGGATGGAAGTCTCTTGACCGGCGTTGGAAATGCTGTTGGTGTCCATTCTTCTGTTATTGCTTGGAGCTCTTCCTCTACGACTTGTTCTTCTTCCTCTTTGCTCGTTTTGTTGGGAACTTCCTGGGATGTTTTGAATTGGGGTTATGGGGCAATCGGGTTGAACCACTGTTACATTAACACC